TGTATGACTATTCCACAACTTACTTTTCCATTCTACTGTTAATGGACATTTGGTTGTTCTAGTTTGAGGCTATACTGTTGCTTTTAACGTTCTTGTACAAGTCTTTTGGAACACAATTGTATGCATTCCTGCTGAGTAAATACCAAGGAGTGAAAATTATCAGGTCATAGGGATGTCCTAAACTCAGCTTCAATAAATCCTGCCAAACATTTTTCTAAACTGAATGTATCAATTCACACTTACACTGAAAGTGTACTCAAGATTTCCAGTTGTTTCACATCTTAGCAGCACTAAATATTATCTGTCTTTATAATTTTAGCCATCTGGTGGGTATCTCGTTGCATTTTTAATTTGCATTTCCTCTATGACTACTGAAGTTGAGCTCTTTTTATATGTTTATAAAACATTTAGATATTCTTTTTTTCTGAAGTGCCCATTCTAACCTTTTACTCATTTTTTTATTAGGTTGTTTTTTCTTATTGATCTGTAATAGTGCTTTATATGTTCTAGATCAGCACTCTCCAGTGTCAATATAATGTGAGCAATGGGTTTAATTTTAGATTTCCTAAAAGGCACATTAAAAAAAAGTATAAAAAAAGTGAAGTTAATTTTAATACTGTTTTATTTAACCCAATATATCTAAAGTATTATCATTTCAACATGTAACCAATATAAAATTTATTAATGAGATATTTTGCACTCTTGTTTTCATTCTAAGTCTTTAAAATCTGGTGTGTATTTTACACTTACACACATCTCATTTTGGACTAACCACATTTTAAGTGCTCAATAGTCACACATGAGTAGTGGCTACTGTATTGCATATTGCAGGTCTAGATGCTTTTTTGCTTCTATCTATCTTCTCCCATATTTTGGCTTACTATCTCACTCTCCTAATGGTGTCTCTTTTTTAATTATTATTTTGAAACAGTTTCAAACCTGAAGAAAAGTTGCAAAAACAGTGGAATTCCCCTATCCCCTTCACCCAAATTCTTTAATTGTTAAATGTTACTTTTCTCCCTCTCTCCCTCTCTCTGACTCCATATATATACATACACTTTTTCTGACATGATGCCCCACCCTCCCTAAAAGCTCTGGTGTAACTCTCCCAGAGATTCTATCCTACATTATGACCACACAACCCTACCAATCTGAAAATCAACATTGATACAACACTACCATTAAATTCACAGACCCTATTCAAATTTTCCAACTGTTCCAACAGAATATCTTTCCTATCTTATCCAGGATCCTATCCAGGAGTACTTGTTGCATTGGATTGTCATGTTTCATAATGTTATGTTATTTCTTTGGCACTTAAAGATACTATTCCATGGTCTCCTGGCTTCTATTGTTTCTGTAGAAAAGTCAGCCATCAGGCTTATTGTTGCTTCTTTAAAAGTAACATGCCTTTTTCATCTGGCTGATTTCAAGATTTTTCTCTTTTTGGTTTTTATCAGTTCTACTATACTATGACCAAATGAGGTTTTCTTTTTATTTGTCTTGCTTGAGATTGTAGCATTTGTGAATCTCTGGTTCAGTGTTTTTCATCAGTTCTGAAATATTCTCAGCCATTATCTCTTCAACTCTTGCATCTGCCATGTTCTCTCTCTCTCCATTCCTTGTGGAACTCCAAATACACATGTGTTAGAACTTTTCATTGTTTCTCATCTGTCTCTTGCATTTTTTTCTGTATTTTCTGTCCTTTTGCTCTCCAAGCTTCAGTGCAGTTACTTTCTTCTGATTTATTTTCCATTTCATTCATTCTTTTTTTCAGCTTTTATAATCTGTGTTAAACTCATGTGTTGAGTTCTTACTTTCAGTAATAGAACTTTTTATTTCTACAATTTTTATTTGATTCTTTCTTATTGCTTCTAAAAATCTCCATCCTGTCATTTAATGTCTTGAATATAATTATCAGCTTTATCCCCTTTCCTGAACTCATTTATTATTATTTAATCCAATAAATTTTTAAATGAGACAAAAATCTATTTAAAACATTATGCCAAAAATTGAATCTCCTTATCCCCATTCAATTAGACCATTGCAACAGGGCAGGTGGTTTCCTGGAATAATTATTCTTCTAATTGCATCATACACAGTCAAACTAAAAAAGCAGATAACTGTCTCATAAAGCTATAACAGATAGTCTCCACAAGCATCAGGCATCCTCTTGATGTTATAACTACGGTTAGAAATGTACATGATGGGAACTGCTGAATTCTTTACTTAAAGTCTTCATCAAAAGTAGCCACAATATAAAACTTTGTCTAAGTATTCTTCTATAGTAAACAGTCCTTGCACAGGTTCCTTTGTGCATGATCATCATTCAAACATTGGATCCTTGACAATTCTTCGAGCTACATGAAATCTGCCTTAACTTCTCAATTTTACCATTACACAATTGGTTATATCAGAGAAACATGCAGCATATGGACAGCCCATCTTTGACTGTACTATGTTTGGATTGGCTTTAATGAAAAGTTGATAAACTTGCATCAATCAGGCTATAGGTGGGCCCAGTCGTATGTTAAATTAGTAACATAAACAGGAAGATTGATGGGAAAATTTCTCTTTTCTTGAGTACACTGGGATCTTTATTGACTGTGTTTATAGGGTCTGATCTATCTTCTTCCTTTAACCTCTGACCTCAGAAGCCAAGAATTTGCTTCATGGTCACATATTTCCTCGCTTCCTATGTTCACCCTGCAGTCTTGAGGCATCCTCCAAAATCTCAAGCCAAGTAGAGTTATTTTAGAGTCCACGTTTGAGAATTTCAATCTCTGGATTTCCTTTGGGTTTATTTCTGCTCTTTTTATGCATGAGTGGTTATTTTATATTGAATGCCAAACATTCTGCCTGAAAAAATTATAAAAATTAGTTGAGATTCTGGATGATGTTATATTCAGAGACGATTCACTTTTGTTTCTGATGCAGTAAGGTTAAAAGCAGATTACCTTAATGCATTTGGGGACTGAATTGATACAAAGCTGGACTTCAGGGTTTTTTCAGAGCTGGTCTATTTCTTATTTACCGTTATTCCTAGGGTTTATCTTTTTAGGGTCCCAACTAAAAGCCCAGGATGTTTTCCAGTCTCCCCTCCTCCAAGGCCAGCCTAATTTTTCTTCCCCAGCTTTCAGAAACTGTCCAAAGTTCTACTCAAATCCTCTTCTTCTCAGCCAGCTTTTTAATTAGCGCATATTCAAAGGGAACAGCGGCACCAACTGTTGGGCTTACCACATCGGGCATCCCCTCTCTCTGGGATCTTGGCCCTGCATGTTCTTTCTTCCTTAGTATATCTCTGACATCTTCAAACATATATATTTTATTTAGCCCAGCTTTTCTATCTTTTCTCAGCTGGAAGATTAGTCTGAAGCAAACAAGTCTACCAGCAAGGGAACGGGTTGCCATATTTTCAAAGTGCTTTGTAAGGCATGTTTCACGTCACTAATAATGTAAACACTAATTTCAAAAAACACTGTGAGTACCTAAAATATTAATGAAAGTGAAAATTATCAAATCAATACCAATATTTCTTTACATTTTATTTACCATCAGTATTACTGCAATTATATTTTGAGTAGACAGAATGCTTGGAGTAAATTACACAATAATTTTGAGACCATAGCTTTATTCCATTTAAGCTTGTTTCTCATACAAGCTTATCCTATATTACGGGGCTTTCTGCATTATTTCTTGTAAAAAAAAAAAAACTTTTTCAATGTTATTATGTAAGTCAAGTACAGCCAATTATTTTTGTAGTGTCCAGTAGGACATTTGAATGTTATGCAGGATATGAGACAATTCACTGTGTGACTGGGCAATGCACTGCAGGGCGTCCAGCCTCCTTGGCCCATTGACCAGGAGCATATCCTCAATAATTTTTCACAAGCAAAATGCTTCCACAAGTTTCCAAAATATCCTTTAGGACTCAGTATCACCTTTCTGGAAAACTTCCATTAGATTTAGAAAACCATCCCTGCAGACAGTGCTAGCCCAGGATATGTGTGGATCCCAGGGTCGTCCTTGGAGGCCAAAGGGTAGTATGGACCAGTCACACTGTGTTCTTGCCTCCCACACATGACAACTCTTAAAGCCATCCTAAAATCAAGTGAAAACAAGTTAGTGTTAATACTCAGGACAAAGGTAAAGAAGTCAACACACACCCTGACGTTTCTTCTTGGGTTAGGATAGGAGCGCCTCGTCAGCGGGCTGGATATTATCTTCAGTAGTAATAACCTCTTGTATTGTCACCAAGTACCAGGAACTGAATTGCTTTAATCCCGTTATCTTTATCCTCTCAACAACCCTATAAAGAGCTTATTATTCCCAATTTAGAGATGAGGAAACTATGACTTCAAGATTTAAGTGACTGGAAGATTTTAAAACTATTCAGCACGTCTGTGATCCCACTGCACTCCTACTGCTCCACTCAAGGCTTCCAGCCGTTTTAAAGCCTCGTGCTCCGCTTAGGGGTAGAAGGGGGCAACCTGATGGGAAGCGCTTGAGGAAAAGGAAAAATGGGTCTAAAAGGGGCCTAATATGGAACTATCTAGGCTCCATTCTGTTCCCAATTCCCCTGCTCTGGGTGCTGCCCTGGGACCCCACTCCCACAAGCCATCACTGCAACCACTGCGTTCTCCTATTTCCCTGACCCCAGATATCCCGGCATTCTAAACCCCAGTGTCCCTCCCTCAGCAGCGCATTCCCGGTGGCCCAGGTTCCAAAACCCTTCTCCCCACTCCTTCAGCCCCGCAGCCCCTACAACCGCGGGTCCAGCAAATCCTCTTTATCCCAGCTGCCGGGTTCATACTCTCCTAGTCGCCTGGCCAGGAGGTGCCGGTTCGGGCCGCAATAGTGGCTCCTGAGGCGCCCCCCACTTGCTGCGCAGGCGCGCGCGGAGCCACTCCGGTTCGGGAGCTCCTCAGTTGCGGCTCGCGGGGCTCGCCTCCGTTCCCTTGGCAGCGCAGTACACAAAGGCTAGCCTGGCGGCGCGCGCGATGTGCTTCAACAGAGCAGGTGAGGGGGGCTGCAGCAGTGGAGTCGAGTAGAGGGGAGGAGGAAGAGTGCGGAGTCTGGGAAAGCGGAAGGAGTGGGGAGGATTTAGTTCGCTCGCCTCCATGGAATTCTGTCTGATTTTGTTAAGAGCTGGGTCGGACCCGGTCCTTGCTCCGCCTCCCTACAATCCCACCTGCCCCCAGTATGCTCCCTTAGACCGAGGAGCCTTCCCTCATGTGGAGTTTCTTCTCTCTCTCGATCTTCAGAGTCTCTGGTTAACAACTCCTTTGGAACATGTCAACAGAGGAGGATCTTTCCTCATTTCCATCCCCCAAACTCTTTGGGGAACAGGTTTCTCCCTCTTAGGGGAGCGCCCCACAGAGGGCCTGGATGTTACATGGCAGAAGATGTGAGTATTCACCTTCCCTTGGGTGGGTCTCCGTTCCCTGGCTCTCTAAGGATCCCCAAGTTTCATGGAAGAAAAGCTCTATGGGATTTGTGATCTTCAGGGTCCGAACATGAGAAAGTGCCCTGAATCTGTGCAACCAGACATCAGGGCCAATGTTAGAAATTAAAAGACCTTTGCTCCCCACTTTGAACCCCCACCAAACGCAAGCCTTTGCTTCATATAGCCCCCAGTATAGTCCCCACTCCGTTCCCCACTCCAAAGACCTGTGAACAAACCCGCTTACCCTCCCATTAGTCCAAACCTGGACTGTTGAAGTGCTGGTAGGTCAGTTTATGAAATAATATGATCAGACTGACAGTTGCGTTAGAGCAAATGCAGCTCTGCAGGGCTCAGAGGACTGGATTCACTGGAAGGCAGAGAAATGTCAATTACTCTACCTATCCAGGATCATTCCTTTGCAGAGTAACCTGTGTTATATGTACTTATGTAATTGTTTGTATGGTCTTGGCTCAGGGGAGTCAAGAAAGAGCAACTTTTGCAGAGAAGATTCAGATAAGAACATTCTAAGTTCACTCTGTTTTAATGACTATAATGATCTCTATGTGTTTTTTTCTTTATTTATTTTTTTAATTCTACCCACCCAAAGACATATGGCTTGGCATACAACCTCTCTAAGATCCCGACCAGTAAAAAAGGATATACTCTTGGAGCCAGAACAGCCGTGAGGTTTAAGCCAATCAACAAGGTTAGAAGTGACTGAAAGTACTTAAATTTTAGCGTGATCCATGTTGTTGCATGTATTTGCATTGGGGAGCAAAGGGCAGAGAGCAGGAGGTTACCTAAAGAATATGCCCTGAAATTCAAGATAAATAGACATTTAGGCAAAAGCTATTAGAAAGCCTGTGTAAAAAGCTTGGGCATTAGCATTGCACATGTGTGTGTGAGTGTCCTGGGAGAATGGAAAACAATTCTCCGAAAAAATTGTACTAAGACAGGGCTTCAGTGCTGAGACACCTGATGCTAAAATCCTGGAAGCTTTGTTTATATGCGTCACATTATCTTGTCAGTTAAAAGAACAAATTCCAACTTTTCCACTCTTTTGTGTGATTGGATTTCAAGACTAAAAGTCTTCAGTATAGGATCCTAATCTCTTGTTGGACATTTTCCTGATGCTTAAGCTGAAGGAGTGGGATACTGGCTCTAAAAATATCTCTGAGTGGGATGGTGGGGGTAGTAGCCACAACAAGTTACCTTGGTTCTCTGCCCACCCTAGGCTTATTTCTTCAACCTGAGCATTATGTAACTGTAGGTAGTTGAACCACACACTTACCTTGGTTTTCTACCTACTGTAGATCTATTTTTAAGCTTTAGGTGGTTAAACCATAGCTGATACATGACCAGGAAGAGGATGATTCTGTTTTTTTCTACTTAGAAGCCTTATATGTATGTATCTGCATCACCCTCTAACATATTGATCTTTTTCTTGGAAACAGGATATGACGCCTCACCCAGGCAGGTACCAGACAGTAAATCCTCGGGAGCAGAAACACAAACAAAATTTTGCTCCATTTAATGCCTTGTTGCCTCGCTTTAGGACATACTCAAAGGACACTTATGATCCTGGGTATGTCTGTCTCCTCTCTTCTGGTGCACTTCAACAAACAGCAAAAGGAAAGAAAGTACCAAGAAAGGGGTTACATCCAAACAATGCCAGCTAAATAAGAAACTACCCTTCTGTAAAGATTCAGCCTCTTGCCCTCCAGATCTCTGGCATTATAGAATTGTAAATCATAGTGATTCATTCAATAAATATTTATAAATGTTCCAGAGATTTTTTTTTTGTAAGGAAGATCAGCCCTGAGCTAACATCTGCCAATCCTCCTCTTTTTTTTGCTGAGGAAGACTGGCCCTGTGCTAACATCCATGCCCATCTTCCTCCACTTTATATGGGACGCCGCCACAGCATGTCTTGCCCAGCGGTGTGTTGGTGCGCACCCGGGATCCGAACCAGCGAATCCCGGGCCGCCGCAGCAGAGCGCACGCACTTATGCGCCACCGGGCCAGCCCCCAGAGATTTTGCATTAAACCCATCACACAAGGCTCCCAGTTTCTTGGAGCTTACATTCTAGAGTCCAGACAGATGAGAAGCAAGTAAACAAGAAGATATCAATGGTAGTAAGGAAAGGGATGATATAATTTAGTAGTCAGACCAGGACACTTCTGAGAGTGAAAGGGGGCCTGATTACTAATTATACCAAGACAGTAGCCAAAAGCTAGGACTTTCCTGGGAAAAGCAGGAGGTATGGTGACCTGGTGATGTGCTATGGAGAAAATCAAACAGGATGATGATATGATACAGAGTGATGGACTGGAGGCTACTTTAGCAAGGATTGTCAAGAAAGGTTTTTCTGGGGAAATGACACTTGATCTGAAATCAGAATGACAAGACTGAGCCAGCCTTGTGAAGATCTGGGCCCAGAGCTTCCCAAGCAGAAGGAACAGCAAGTGCAAAGACTGTAAATTGGGAAGGAGTTTGGTGTGAGGAAAAAAAGAAGATTTTCATGGGTATAGTTTGGTAAGCAAGAAGGAAAGGAGAACAAAAAGGGGGGATGGGGCTAGAGTATGTAGGCCTTGTAGACCAAGGGGCTTGTTAGAAAGCCATTCAGAATGTACAGAATAGTAGGGCAAAGGATCAAGGTCTGTCTTTTACTGATGAGAAATCCAAGGATCAGAGATGATCCCTTCTCAAGGTTGCAGTAAGGAAGTGAAAGTGTTGAATCTTGACCCCCATGTCCACTCTAAGTGTTATCTCCACCACAGCAAAGAGTCTACACCAAAAGACAAAGTGTTGCAAAAAAAGGCGATTATAAAATAATCCTATTGTCAAGAAAATTTAACTGGTTCTACTTTGCTGTCCCTAGATTGCTGATGGATTAAATTATCACTACAATTTTATCCCCAGTTTCAAATCATGGGCAGTACTAACACATCACTGTGGTAGATTTCTTTTATTACCCACCGCTTCTAGGATCTTTTGGTCTCTCAGCTAAGGATATTGAGTTGGCAGAAATATTTTTTTAAACTAGAGTCAATTTTTACCGTAACTGGATGTCAAGACTAGATATCTTTAACACTGACACCTGATTAGAAATACACTGACAGGCAAAGGAACTTCACACTTGCCCAGCACCATCAGTCTGTTGCCTTTTCCCAAGGAGTTAGGACTAGTTCAGGGTTAGCTGTAGTATTGATGGAGTTTGTATGTGGTCACTAACTCATTAGACATGATGTTCTATATTTTTTATTTCTAGCCCTGGCACATACAACCTACAGATAAAGCCACCCAAAAAAATCACCTGGCCGATGAAATTTGGATCTCCAGACTGGGCTCAGATTCCATGTCTACAGAAAAGAACCCTAAAAACTGAGGTAATAAAATTGGATTCTGTAGAGCACTCCATCTAGTACTTTCATATGTATCAAGGATTTTTAACCAGGAGTCTGTGAATGAGCTTCAGGAAGTCCTTGTCCCCCTGATATTATATGCACAATTTTGTATGTATATGCATATGGGGATCTTTTCAGAGAGTTACACAATTTCATCAGATTTTTAAAGGTGTGTATGACAGAGCAAAAGTCACGTTTTCTTATTTAATCCTCAAATCCTTAATTTAACTAGCTCCACTATTTACCTCCTGTGTGATTTTGGGCATGTCCCCTAATTTTTCTAAGCCTCAGTTTTCTTATCTTTAAAATGGGTATAATAATAGAATCAATCTGATAAGGTTGTAAAGATTGAGATAATGTGGAAAGCATTTAACACAGTACCTATAACATAGTAATGCACATTAGCTATCATAATTCTAGAGGTGCCTTTTTTTTCCTAGTGAAACTTTGGATTAATTCTACAAGTATTTATTAAATGCCTAATGTATTAACATCATTGTGCTAGCCTATGGGTAATATTCAAGAATTAGACATATAATCTTTGTTTTTGAGAAGTTTACCAGCTATACTTGGAGATTTACCAAGTAGAAAATAATTCCTAGCATGATGTACAACAGAGTAAGAAGACAAAGAGTAGATGTACATACATATATTGAGAGAATCACTATGGCTAGATTACTATGGGGTTGAGGTTTAGCGAGGTCACAACAGCTATAATGTGCAGTTCTATTTTGCACAGCCAGGAAGACCAGAGGCAAAGGGTTCTCATGAGAACGTTGATCTACACAATATTCTTTCATTGCAGCTGTCCACAGACAAAGACTTTAGAAAGCATCGGAACCGTGTGGCCTACCTGAGCCTGTTTTACAATTGAGAAGCTGTGACTGCCTTCACGTGCTCCTCCTGACCACAGCACCTCCAGGATTGAGGGCAGAGCTGCTCGTCTCCCTCCGCGTTGCTGTGGCTCCCTTATCTGCCAGCCTGGGGCCCCGGGAGGGATAAGAGTCTCATAACTACTAGATGAGAACATAAAGACTAGTTCAGAGTGTTCCGTCTCCAGGTGCTGGTTTGTTGTGTACGTTCGTAGATGGGTCTGGGGGTTCCTCTTGAGTGTTCTATGAGGTGGCTCTATTTTACTGAAATACTCGTGGGTCCCTGCCCTCTAGCTCTCATTCCCAGGCACCAGCTTTTTATATTCTACCACTAACCCTGGTAATAGGAGGCTATACCCTATACATATAAAGGATTTGGATGGCATTTGGCTTGCTTGGGCTTGTATTTGGGCTTGCTAGACATAGCAAGGGTAAAGACAGGGTAAAGCACATTTAAGGAGCTCTTCCAAGTTTCTGAGTTTGCTGGCGTGGAGTGGGAAGGTCCTGATTTTGTTGCCTTTTCCAGATTGATGTAAAAACTCACAGAACCCCAAATCCCGCCTTTCCCATTACATCTATTTACATCTATTTCCTGTTACTATCAATGTCAGTCAGTTATCATATATTTTGAGTACCTATCATGTGTCAGGCAGAGTGGCAGGCACTGCGGATGTAACAGAAATCCAGATAAACTCACCCACTGGCTCCTCCAGCCTGGCTTGAAGTATGAGGAGGACGCCCGAGGGCAGCTAGTGGATTGGGTCTGCCCCCCAATCTAAATGACCCCCTGAAGCCTTAAAGATAGTCTAGGGGTATCAAGTTCAGAGCTCACAGCAGCCACATTCAAAGTACTTATCTAGACACTCTGGCCTGGGAGGTGGGCCCCTCTTCTTCCAACACTAACTGAAATAACTCAAGTATAGTTCCTTCAGGATGGACACTAAGTGTGGTCCACCTTATCTTTTAATAAGAGGGTCCTCTGGTGCCCACTTAGGCTTCTTAGTCATTACCAGAAAGGTGGCAAGTCTGCGTGTGTCTGGATATGAGTGAGAAGCTTCCAGTGGCTGCAGAAAAGCTTTAGCCTGCTGTCACCTTCAGGGCCACCCCGTGGTAAGTGTTAGTCAGTGAAAGAGGCAGTAAGAGGTGAAACTCCTGGGCTTATGATGCTGAGAGGCCTGATTCCTTAATGGCCAAGGTCTTCTAAAGAAATAATGGTAAAGGAAAAGTCTCTATTGGAAATCAAATTAAAATATTAAGATACTGATAAAGAGACTCAGTCTGATAACTTTTACCCAATATAGAGGGTTCTTTTAGTTGGATGATTTAATGATTCCTTTTATTTTGTCAAGAAGAGTTCATGACTTGCCGTGAGTCAGGATTAACTCTTTTCACCTCTCTCACACCTCCCTCCCTTTTCTCCTTTGGATCCACACACGTGCAGGTGTTTTCAGAGGTGATCATTTAGCAGTCATTATTTGTTCTGACTCAGGGTCTTAGCCCCCCTCTTTGAAGGATGTTGACAGGGTGATAAAACGTCTTTCATACTGTTGTCTGGTACAGCGCTAAAAGGCTTCTCCCCAGGAGGGGAACCCCCCTTTCTAAAATGGTAATCTGATTTGCTAAAAAATAATTTTTTTATTGAGGTATAATTGATATACATTATGTTATTTTCAAGTGTACAACATAATTATTTGATATTTGTATATATTGCAAGATGATCAGCACAGTAAGTCTAGTTAACATCCATCACCATACCTAGTTACCGGATTTTGTTTTCCTTGTGTTGAGAACTTTTAAGATTTACTCTTTTAGCAACTTTCAAATGTGCAATACAGTATTATTCACTATAGTCACCATGCTGTACGTTACATCCCCATGACTTATTTATTTTTATAACTGGAAGTTTGTACCTTTTGACCCCCTCACCCATTTCACCCACCCCCACCCCCTACCTCTGGCAACTACCAGTCTATTCTCTGTATCTATGAGCTTGTCTTTTTTTTTTTTAAATATAGCTTCAATTAACCTTCAGGATCCCTCATAATGCTAAATTGTATACACCAGTACTTAAGAAAGAGTACAAATGAATACAAAGAATAAAACATGCAGAGCCATAGTTATTCTACATCTGGATTTGGTTCAAGGGGTTTACAGGTTTTTTTAGGGTTTAATAGAGTAAAACCTTATCATAATACTGTTTTGTAGGCTAGGGCTTCCAATGTGACAGATTGATTGATATAATGTATAGACTACATGGAATATTGGAAGATGTAGTTTGACATGTGGCACAAGTAAATTTGTAACAAAGAAGAATTTTATCAACACTTTTAATTTAAGGCCAATTGCAGCACTTGCAGGTCTGGTCAAAAACCAGACCCCAGACTCACTGGAAGTGGAAGGTATTGCCCCACACACACACACTGGTAGAACTTGGTGTTGTCTCCAGGAGCACTGTAGATGCCACTAGTACAGAAACCTCCATCTCCTCACTGTCCCCATCACCGCCACCTCCTCCAGCACTTCTTCCATCACCACAGCCTCCTCCACCACTGCCACTGCCTCCACCAAGATTGGCGCAGAAAACTTCACTTCTGGTGAGGGTCACCGGTCGGTGATACCAGGTGTTGGTGGCTGGTGGGGTACATTCTAAAAGAATAAAAAGAGCATTCAGAGCATCATCCTTAGCTGTTTTTGAACATAGAAGCAACAAGCTATAGACCTTCTCCTGTATCAGTTTTGTTCTCAAAGAACTTGAGCCCTGTGAGGGTTCCAAGCTGTAGTTGGGAAGAATGTTACAAGGGGACAAATGTCCAAAGCAGGGAGGAAGGGGGAACAAGGGCCCTGAAGTCCCAGCAGGATATCAGCCATGGGCTTCCATTCTAGTTCCACTCAAGGGGAAATGAACCCAACCCTGCAGTGATTGGGCCAAGGATTTTATTTGGGGGACTAATTAATATTTGGGTTTTAGTAGGGGTTTATCTGTCAATATTTCTATCTAAGTAATATTTGGGTTTTTGTCATCTTGTTAACCTTGAGTGTTATACTTGTATTTCTGTCATCTTGTTATGCTTTATTTTTACTTGTTTCCTTTCAACATTGTTTTTTTTTCCTTTTTATCTCCATCTGGTGATTCAGACTTTTTTATTTCATTTTACTCTACTAGTAGCATGCTCTCAACCACTACAATTTGCTGCCTCTTACTCCCTCACTGTTCATTTGAGCAAATCATTTTATAATCATCTCTTACAGGTTTTTACAATTCTAAAACTCAATGATTCTGTGAATTTCCTCAGAGTAGAGACATAAGGAACCTCTTCTATCTTCCGCTTCTCCACCTCCATCCTTCAGTCTTCCTGCAGGGATGCTTACCAAAGAATCATGCAAAACCACATGAAGAGCAGAGGTTTCTCTCTTCATACTGCTGAGTCATTAGCCAATCAGCAACATGAGTCTTTGTCCCTGCTTTTCTTCAAGACCTGCCTCCAACCCTCCCCACTAGCACCCAAACAACAAAATCTGTGCATCCAAGGCAGGTGGGGAAGTGGCTAAGCCGCCTGATTATTTCTAAGATAAGCTGTGGTGCACTGCAGTGAGAGGGAGGTAGTCCAGTTTAGAGATTAAATCAGCGTATATATCAGACTCTGTTTCAGGATATCAGCTTCTTCTTTCCAGCTGAAATTTTCCTGAACAGCGAGGCCCACCTCTAGGCTATCAGGTATATTCAAATCCTTGCTCATGATAACTACTGAACTTTTACTGGCCCCTTGATTGAAAAATGGATTTCTAAAAAGGTGCTTTCTGTAACTCTGCCCTTTTTGTCAAATGTGAGTGCCTAGAAGTTCTGTGGCTGCCTCCATGCACCCTGGCCTCTCTGCGTTTGCCATTCTTTGCAGCTTGACCTGTATCTTCTTTAGAACAACGTGGTAAACTCAATAGTGACGCACCTGAGGACAGGTCCAGGAGTGACTTCAGTTTGCTTATGAGTGGGTATTTGCCCTCATTGCAGAAGGAGCCTGAGAAGTCATCCAGATCAATGACCCAAACCATGGCCCTGCCAAAATTGTTTTCCTTTAGAAAGTTGACCTGTGGACAAAAAGAGCACTTGGCAACCAGAATCAAATGGCATCTATGCAACAAACAGTGGAGTATGGGGTGACAAGGTGACGTTAGGAATACAAAGCAGGTGGGGGCCCCCTGTCAGTTGTTCTTTTATGAAAGGATATGTTTCTTGTGGATGCAAGACATATGATTGGCTGACTCAGTTCTATACTTGTTTTCTTGCCTCGGTTAATAAACTCTTGAGTAGTGATATAAATAAAGCTAATATTTATTTAATACTAGTATTCCAGGCTAAGCTATGTTTTTACATTCATTATTCACTTAATCTTCACAGGAACTACTAGGTAAATCTTATTATTATTACTCTTTCACGGATTTGAGGGAACTCACCCAGTCTCAGATCAGGGATTTAGAACCAGGTATATCTGACTCCAAATCCTAAATGCTTAACCACTGTACCATGCGGCCCCTTTCCTCCTCCTGGTTGACCACCTTTCTCCTGACCAGGATTCTGTGAAGCTGAACTGACAGAGCAGTGCAGTGGAAAGAACCTAGACTCTGAGCCGGACAACATGTTCAATTACTGCCTTTGCCATTTTCCAGCCGTGTAAGCTTGGACTAGTTACAGCATCCATGATCCTCAGCTTATACATCTGTAAAGTGGAGAGACTATTTCTTACTTCACTGGGTTGTGTAGAATCAAATAAGATAATGGTTGTAAAGCATTTAGGTAAAAATGTAAAGGATTATTTCCATTATAGTCGTTGAAGATGATGTTCTTAGGCCAGGCTTATAACCAGTCACATGAACTAGCAGAGATTCATACTACACAAAAATTGGGAAATAAATTTTAACCATATTACAATATTCTAGTATATAGGAGTGTATTGTACTATATATTGTACATTGTATTATTAAATCTATATGTAATCATATTGTTTTCCCTGTCTTGGGGGAAAGCTAAGTAGTAATGAGGTTGGTCTACCCTTCCTTTGAGCATATTTAAAACTTTGAAGCCACAGGTCTTAGTAAAATGGCCTCCTGATGAACTTAGGATTCGAAGCTAGAATGGCAAGTTTTTTTTACAGGTTCACAGGTCCCCCCCGCAGGGACCCCATGGTCTCTCCAGTACTTCATGGCGTATTCCTGAGGAAGGAAACACAGACATTATTTCCTCACCAGTGTTTGTACTATTTGATTAATTAACTCTCCATCCATAGCTCTCAATGTTGTCATAGCCAACCCAGTCATTGTTTTCACAAGCATATGGGACATTTTTGTCTTTAATCCAAGCACTTGTGACACTTAGGAATATGGAGATCTATGAGAGGAATGAAGAAGGCAACGTCGAGCACATCTCAGACCTGTCATGTACTGAAGCAGAAAGGACTCAGGAGAAAAATAGAAATGGGAGGGAGGTGGAAAAGGGGACATTGCGAAATCTACGTTAATCTCACATATTTCTCTAGAAAGTGATTTTGTTTCATAAAATGAAGACACAAATTTCTATGAAATCAGGCTACAAACAAGAATAATTCTAATTCTGTACCCGGAGTTTATTTGAGAAGTGATAAGGACGAACATATGTGCCGTGGTCACTCTTCCACAAACACTTGAGTCTTTGGCAAATACTGTTAATCAGTCACCTATCAGTCTCTGAATTTTCAGCACAGGATTTGAGTAAATGTGATTAATTCAAGTTGGAAGAGATCAAATTATTTGCATCCCTGGGCTAGACTATTGAAATCCTTCTCCAGCTATTTACACGGATGTAATAGAATTCAGTATTGCTTTGGGGCTGTGGGAAAGAGGCTGCCATACACTTCAAAACCCAAAAAGGAAATTCAGATTGATTTTTTTTTTTTTAATGAAAAGTGCTCCATAGCCATCAGCCTGCCTTCTCCCAGGCTGTTTGTGCTCAGAGCTATGAGAGGCCAGGGAATAGGATCTCAAGAGAAGAAGTGTAGCAAGACGACTTGGAGAGTGAAAGAATTTTCCCTAGTGCATTTTAAGCCTGAATTAGCCATGTCTGTTACCTTGTAGTAAGCCCAGAAGCCAGCCTCACATGTGTAAGGACCAGATGACCCTGCTCCAGAGACTGGGGCACAGACTGAGGTGTCAGAAGTGCTGAGCCAGAAGGTTCTCCCATAGGAGGGGAACCCCATGACGAGCTTCTCCACAGGGACCCCATTGTCTCTCCAGTACTTCATGGCTTATTCCTGAAGAAGGAAGCACAGACATTATTTCCTCGCCAGTGTTTGTACCATTTGATTAACAATGTCTAGCTAATTATCCCCCAAAGAGACAGCCTCTTTCCTGACAACAAAGGCTCTCCCAATCCCCTCCCCATCTCCCCTTTGCATATGATTTGAGGCTTTTCTTTCTTACACAGTTGAAATAATGCATGTCGCCTTGATCCTTGGGTCTTAGGTGCAGGGGACTGTTATGTCCTGTACACGTGTCCCAGCCACCATGGAAGTCATAGGTCATCACATTGATGAAATCAGGGAGTCTGGAATAAGAGATTTTGAGCCATCAGGATCCTAGGGGCATTTTCTTATAGACAGCTGAAGGGCAAGAAATGGCAGCAGTGGGAAGCCCATGCTGTCCAGTATGTATGACCCTACCAATGTGGCTTCCTGGGGGCCTCCGGGGAGCAGGTTATCTTCTGTGACCCCCATATGGCTAGACAGGAAGTCTCCTTTACCTCCTTGAAAGAAACAGGGCAGACCCAGAGCAGAAGGTTAGGAAATGTGGGTTGTTAGAGCATGTGTCTCAGAAATCCACATCTCTAGGGCCATGGGAATCACAGGTGAGTAGCTATCCTATTGCCTTGCCAATAATAGCTATCTTGATTTTACAGCCTTTTGCAAAAAAACTGCTAATGAGGATTGCTATTATAAGGATTTGCCATGATCTTAAATCTTAATTGTCTTCTTCCCAAAGCCCACCACAGTGACAATTTAAAGGGGCCACCACCCTATCCCAGAGCCACTAGGTCCCTCAACCTCTTTGGCAATTGAAGGTACCAACTTTCTCAACATTATATTTACATAACTACTTGAGATGCTCTCCACCAAAAAGTTTAGGAATTTCTGCTCTAGGATTTGGGGGCCCAGAGAGACCCAGTGCGCTCACTTCCCAATCTCTGCAATTTCATATCCTGAATCAATGGTCCCTTTGCTAGCTGATACGGCTGAAGCGATCAGCAGTCTGGGATATCCTGTTTCTTTAGCCTCTTCTACAAAAGCCTCTATCGTTTCCTAGAGAGAGAAAAGAGGGTGGATTTTAGTGGCTGTCTTCATTATCTACTTCCTATAAATACCTCTTGGGCTGGTTTCCAGCTCACAGCAATTCCCCTGTTTCTGGAAATAGCCCCTGAAATAGAGGGGTAAGTCCTGGTAAAATATAACTTGGAACAAAGAGATATAGAGACTAAGAGCCCTTGAATCCAAGTCATATTTAAGGACAATTCTAGAGAAAAAGCCCAGGAACTCCTGGCAGAGGGTCTAGGAGCTCTCTTGCCAACTGTGACTTCACCTTCCCTTTTAAAGCTCTAGCCTCGCATTTTTGTAGAGCCATGCTGAGCTCTTTCCTGCCTCCAGGCCTTTGTTAATGTTACCACTTCCTTAGAACACTCTTTTTTCTACTCTTTGTATGGCTGATTCTTTTTAATTCTTCATATCCAGCTCAAATGTCACTCCTCTGAGAAGACTCCCCTGACCATCCTGCTTGCTGCCATCATTGCTCTTATCACCATTTGTGATTATTTGATGCTCTTTTTTCTTTTTTCTTTCCCTCTGTATCCTCCACCTTGCTGTCACCCTCACAAGACTAGGGATCATGTTTGTCTGGTTCACTGCTCTATCTCCAGTATGAAGCACAGTGCCTGGACCACAGTAGATGCTCAATAAATACTTACAAAGTGAATGGCATAATGAATGGTTCCTCCTTCCCAATTCAAGAATTTCTTCCTTGGATTCCTTCAGCTACCTATATCCTTCCAATAAATTCTCTTTTGGCTTAAGCTAGCCAGACAGTCTGTTTCTGTCGCTTGCAACCCCTAAACACCTTAACCAGTGTACTGTGTGAGAGCGGTAGTACCCTTCGCTATCCCCAGGAAATGCAATTCTCATAGAAAATCCACTAAGGCACCCGCTTCTCTACAAGAAGACACAGAACTAGTGCTGTAATCCTACCTTAATCAAGATGGTAAATCGCTGTTTGTCGTCAGGTAGGCTTCCTTGGGGCCCTGGATATTCAATATCCAAGTCAATGCCATCAAATCCATGTTGATGAAGGAAGTCAATGAGAGGGCAGGTGAAGATTTTGCAGTTGGCAGCCATGGAGACCACGGTGGTGAATCTAGGCAGAGAGTTTGTCTGTATCAACATGAGCAGACCCTACACCGTCACTGATACCAATTTTTGTTATGCATTTCATAATAACCCCTGTTGGATTTTACAGTTAAGATAAAGGACTCAAAACTGTTCATGTTAAACAATGGATAAGTGTTTTTAATTTGAACTTCTTTTTTCCTTCGGTATGCCCATTGAAGAGTATTTTTCTATTTATTTATACCATTAAAGGTACATGTTCATTTTCTTTATTAGTGGGATCTTTCAGGGGCAGTGGTTCAGATACTACATTTCTTTGATTCTAAGATGTTCATTTTTTGTATTTGCTGTTTCCAAAATGAAGATGTGATTTACATGAACATATCTGTGTATACATTTAATAAAGCACTTCTGACCTCCAAAGAATTTACTATTAAATATATTATGAGTCCTATATTTGAAGGTGCCTTATTATCTAGAAAATTTAGTTCCTCTGCCATAGTCAGCAGGTTTATACCCTATGAACACATGTTTAAAGGTTTGTTCCTCTAGGTTTGTTCCTGATTATACCAAGGCTGTGATATACACTCTGTAAACCAGATCACAACCTTCCTAATTTATCTGGGTTTTTTTGGTTCAGATACTTAATAGCTAATAAGTTGTTTTTTTTTGTTTTGTTTTTTTTTTTTGTGGAAGTAAACTGACTGGTGCCAACTGGGTAACTTAAAAAGGAGGGGAAGATGTTGTTTGGAGTTTTGGGGGATTTACCTGCAAATATTTTATTATTTAGGTGATTTGCGAGGTAAGAAAAAGCTATATTGGTGGCGTAGACACTTCAGGCAGAAGAAATATTGGTCAAATACCATATGTGAGAATTAGCTTGTTACCTGATAGGAAACTGCCAGAAAGTTTACTTGGCTATTGGGGTGAGGAAAAAAACACTCATTGCAACTTGTTCCAACATTACACTTTCAGGATGGCTACCTCTGGAGAACTGAGGAGCGGGAGAAGAAAGGGGGCACATTACTTTTTATGTCAAATAATTTTGTGCTATCTGATTTTTAAAATAATTATTGGAATGCATTACTTTCATAATTTAAAAAGTAACTCACCACTAACTTGGACAACTTTTTACGTACAAGGCCAGTCTAATCGCACCATCTTCTTTTTCCAACTCAGAGTCTAAATACCCCTGAGCTCACCAATCCTTTCTCACTGCTTCCCAGAAGAAAAGCTTACAACCTAGCCAGGGATCTCGCATTCTTACTGGGCCTAAGTGTTTCTCCATCACCAAGCCCCTTCTCTCCTACCCTTACTTCTCTATGTTCTTTTGGGTGTCTGACCACCCACTCTCCATATACCACTGCTGTTTCTCCAGGTCTGCTGCAGCCAGCCCTTCCCACCTGCAGACATTAGTCTCTTCCCAGGCCCCAGCCTCTTTCCCCTCTGGAATACCCATTTTCACCTCTCCTCTGGCATCATTCTTTCCCTCCTCAGCCTGAGGGACTCTTTCTCTCATTTCCACCCTCATCCCCTGGCCATGGGAAGACTCTTACTTCTGAGTGCCAAAGTTCCAGCCACCAATGGCCAGCAAGTTGACCAGATCTCCGTTGCTGCAGAAAGAAACAAAGAGGCACATTTAAGTGAGATCTCTGTGAGCCTGCAGGATACAGACATTGCAGAAGAAGACTCTCCTCCCCCTCATTCTCAACTCTGGGAAATGGGCAACTGCCAATACAACCTCTAAATCTTATGATATTTGAGAATGAGCTGGAGACTGAACTTGGGCTCTCCATTATCCCTCTCTGTCTCTCACTCACTCTGGATTCAATTCCCACCCTCCATTCTTTAAGGGCTCAGAACTGAGGATACAGGACATCAATATCATTCCATTCACAGGGAGCAATCTTTTTGTCATTTATGGTGGTGAAGGCATATATCAGGTGTGTGCACAGACATGGGTCCACATTCTTGGGGAGGAACTTGGCTGGTTCTTCTCGATGCTGATCCCAGTTGGTAAAGTAGCCCACCAGCTTATAGGCTGCGCCTGCGAGAAAAAAGCAACAGTCATTGTGGCGCAAGTCTCCACTGTCTGTCTCACTTGCTGATGACCTCTTCAAGGGGAAGGGTTACCTACAAGTTAGCATGGCATGTACCTGGTAGCTACTGCTACATTCCTTTCCCATGCCTATGGAAGATCTTGCTAAACAGTCATGATACTTTTTTCAACAGAATCTGAGCAAGGCCTAAACGTCTTTCGTGACTCAGAAAACTTTAAAAATCAATTAGAGTCAACATAAAATAAAATAAATTTGCCATCACAGAAGAAAGTGGTAATTATGCCCCTTGGGTACTATGCGTAACTTTAAAGACTGTTCAAGTTCATTATCAATAAAACAGCTACCTTTTGTAGATGGCATATGATGTGACTGATGCTTTATTTAGAGGCTTTCCATGCATTGTTTGGCTTAAATTTGAATTCCCGTAATAGCCATATGAGGGAAACAGTATCTTCATTTTTACATTGAGACTCAGGAAAACTGCTCAGGACTGAAAGACTAAGATTAATACCAATTCATTCATTCATTTATCCCCCAAATATTTATTGTGCATGCACTATTTCCAGGCAATCTTACTCCAAATCTCGTGCTCTTTCCGCTCTCCTCTCCTCAGTCCCCCATCTGGGCTTTAGTCATGTCTCACATCCACAACCCAAAGCCTAGGTATTAGAAAATGTGAGGAAATTTGAGGGGACAAAAGACAACACAAAGAGAAGTATAGACTTATGGGTAAAAGAGACTGTACCAGTCTTGGATCAGAACATAGAGTTATGCCTTGATGCTGAATAATGAAGGATGAGTCACCTCCCCTCTCTGTGCCTTAGTTTTCTCATCTATGAAGTGAGGCATTTTGGATTCAGTAAGCTATATGTTCCCTCCCAGCTCTGACATTCTGGAATCCAGCAAAACAGGCTGGGATTCTAGTCCTGACATCATCAATGGAAGGAGAAGGAAATGCAGAGTTGGAAGAAAGGAGAGAAAGAAGAGTAACTATCAGAAAGATTGGAGTGTTGTATTATTCCTTACCTAGTTGTACCTGCAGCAGAACAGCCAAGCCTGAGACAGAAAAAAATACAAAAAAAATACAAAGACAGAAAAAAAACCAGTTAGGATCTGCTGCTACCCAGGAGACTTTCAGGGTGTCAAGTGCCCGAGGGCCTTTGGATTTATCAGTGGCCTTTCCCAGGGCCCCATGTCATCATTCACAGGCTTGGATCCCAAGTTCTTCTGCTCAGAGCCCAAGGCAAGAGGGCACGCCATGTAGAAGCCTCACTGAAACAGATGCCTGCCCTCCTACCCCATTCCCAGGGACACCCCATGACCTGTGGGAAGGAAGAGGGGCAAAAAGAGTAGGAGATTCACAGGCCCAGAGCAGTATCCTCCCCATCATGCCTCCACACTGGCCATGTTGGTCAGCCTCTTGGCTCAGCCTCATATAAGGAGGAGACCCCTTTTATCACTGTGAGAGAAGTACAGCTGCCACCTCATGACCACAGGTCCCCAAGGCTATCACACTCATATATCACCTATCCTAGCTTCATAAGGACGAACACCTCACCCCCAAAGGGAGAGAGAAACCCAGCAGAGACCGTCAGCCCAGGCCTGGCTACTCTGACAGAACTGCTTACATTTGGACGCCTTAACACAGCATTGGTGCCGAGTCTACCTGGTGAGGTACAAGCCAAGGAAGAGAATGGAGAGTACCGTGCTGGGAATCAGGGTCCCAACGTACAGGGCCCAGGGCCAGGAAAACACATGGAGAGTTGAACTGAGATATTGAAGCAGTCAGTAAGCATGTAATTTTCCTCCTACAGGACCAAGCCCTACGCTCAAGGCCAGCAGCAAGGGTCCCGGAAGGGATCCAGTTCAGGAAACGGGCATGATTAGTCCTGCTCATCATCTCCTCCTTGTTCCCTTGTGCATTTACTGCGACAGCTCTGGAGGGGAAGGACAGGGGCAGCCATAGGATGCTGCAGCTGCCAGCTCTCTTCCAGCCCAGGGCAGAGATGGGGAGACGGCAGCTGTTACCAGAGAAACATGGACATTGTACCTTTACCTCCTTCTCCTCATTCTGGGAGGCATAGTGGCAGTAGGGTATAAGGAACATTGTGACCTACTGTTGCTAGAGCCTGACTCCTTAGGAAAGGAGGGGAAGGGAGGGAGAGGTGTGGCTGGGAGAGTGGTCAGGTACACATACGTGGGAGGCAGTAGTTGAGGGTGTCAGGCCTGTTTTATCTCACCTTGATGCCCTCAAGGCCATAGATTTGCCACTGCCAACAGCTGTACTCCTCAGAACTGGGGCAAAGCCAGGCAGGCAGGCAGATAAGGTGGGCACAGGTACAGGGGCAGCTGCCAGCGTTGGCCTGAAAACAGATCCTCAGGCTGAGCCAAGAATTTCCTAGTGCATCTAGCCTCCCTTCAGCCTTCTCAGGGAAGGAGCTAACTCATATCCCCGAGTGACAATTTCGTCCTTGGATCTCTAGGACTTGACACAGACTAGGCACTTGATAAAAGTTGATTGAATAAATGACTGTCTCATCTTCAACAGTTCTAGTGTGGGGCAATCTTATGGCCAAATATCAACCACCAAACTATTCCTGACTCTATTAGTTATCTATTGCTGTATAACAATTACTCCAAAATTTAGCCACTTAAAACAATAAGAAATATTTATTATATCATATAGTTTCTGTAATTCAGGAGCAGCTTGGCTGAGTGGTTCTGGATCGGGTTCTCACATGAGGTGGCAATCAGGATGTTGGCTGAAGCAGTCATTGAAGGCTTAACTGGGTCTAAAGGATCCATTCCTAAGATGATGCACACACGTGGCTTGCAAGCTAGTGCTGGCTGTTGGCAGGAGGTCTCAGTGTCTACTTTGTGGACCTCTCTTTAGGGCCACTAGAGTGGCAGCTGGTTCTCCCAGAGCATGTGATCCAAGAAAGAGCATGATGGAAGTCCCACTCCATCATATCTGCAATGTCCTATTGGTCACATGGGTCAGTCTTAAGCGGTGTGGGAGGGGACTACACAAGGGCATGAATACCAGGAGGCAAGAATCATCGAAGGCTATTTTGGAAGCTGGCATCCACACTGACACAGCAGTTTTGAAAGCCCACTGTGTGAAGGTATTGTGCTAAATACTGAGGATTCAAAAATTTAGACACCATCCCTGCCCTCCAGGACCTCAGAGACTAGTGGGGGACATAGAGATATTGGGGGTTGCCATGGGAGCACAGAGCAGTGGCACTAGCCAAACTTGGGCTGCTTACCAATAGTCTCCCAAGTCTCTGACCCACCCAACTAGAGTTTTTAGTAGAGTTTTCACATTTTACCCATTGATTTCCATGGACATGTGCCTGGCACATGCAGATGTTCAATAAATCCTGAGTTTTATTATTATTCTTTTTACAGACATGATTCCTGCCTCAGGCCCACCCTGTTGTTGGCCATGTCGTAGACAGAGTAATATTCCTTGAGGAGGACATCTCCTAGAATCCATAGGGGCTGCCCATTGAAGGAGGGCAGGTAAGTGGCCTCAATTCCAGGTGAGCAGTAGTCATTGTTCTAAAGAGACAAAGGACATGAGGATATAAACAGTTGCACTGTAGAGACCTTTCCCCTCAGGAACATCCCCCACCCTCTATTCCATGACACCTGTGGGGTCTCTGAATTCTTTTCAGCCTCAACCCTGCCACTGAGGATTCCCGGTAGCTGCCGGGAATGAGCTTGGAGATGTGAGCTTGGACACAAAACAGCTGGTTGGGCCCATCTAATCACATATCCAGGGAGCCTGAGAGTGAATACATACTTGAAGACTCACACAAAGGGAAGCAAAGGGAACTGGGACGCACTGATGATAAAGGTGATGGTGCGCATGCTCTGTATGGAGTTGCAGTTGACCACAAACTGAGAGAGAGAAGAGGCAAATCGGCAGAGTGCCAGGGGACTAGGACCCCCAGACAGAAGTCCCAAGTCCCCCTTTTTTCCTGTGAGACTCTTCTTGACCTTCTAGCAGAGGCTGTTTCAGAGCCTGGAAGGCACGGCCTGAATTTGCAGGCACAATGCTGACCAGGTCCTCTTGCTTCTTGAGTTCTCCTTAAACACATGTCAGGTCTCAGATTTTGGTTGTATTTATACGGTCATAAAGAGCTAGGCTCATTCCAGAACACAATTTCTAACCTCAGAAAGTAAAAATTACAGAGAAAAAGCAGGGACACACTCTTGTAGAAGCATAGTCTCTCATACACTCATATCCACATATGTGTGCACCTGTCCATCTACTCATCACACACACACACACCCTGAGGAACTGGGATTTAGTCTGGCCCCACACTCTTGCATACAGGGAGAAGACAACTACAGATATGTGTATAAAGTGGAGCAGATGTGGGAACAGGAGGCTACTCAGAGTAAAATGCAAAAGTGTATTCCTAGTGAGGAAAGAAACCCAACTGGAATGGAGAAATGCATTGTGCCCTGACTCTAATATTTCAGTGCAGTCAAATGACAGTGGCCAGACCAAGCTGAAATGTGCTCCTAGGACCCGCAACAGATTAGCAGCACCTCCTGACAACCATTCCCCCATACTCACAGTCTGAACGGAGTTGGTATTACTCCCTCTCCTTATCCTTCCTTGCATTGAGGGTTCATGCCTGAAATACCATGCTGTGTCCCCACCTTATCTGTCCTGCCAGGGGCTCAGGTCCCCACCCAACCCTTTCTCCTCTCTCTCATGGACTCATTGCACTCAGAATCCTATGTTGAGGCTACCTGGATGTGCAGAGAAACCCTTAGCTTCTGGTTATTCACATCACCATTCTGCACCTGCTGGGCTCCTGTTGCCTGCAGGAAAGAGCCTATGTACAGCTGGAGAACTGCCAGCAGGAAGGTCCCCATACCCACGATGGCCTGGCAGCCCTGGGAGCACCAGCCAGTGGCCTGGTTACCAATGGCAAACCTGAGGGGGGCACCAGTAAAAGAGAGTCAGGTGCCTCTTCTACTGAGCCACGTCTACCCCTCATCCTTCTAACACAGAGCTCTAACATTCTGCCTCTACCAGGAAGCCAGGCCACCCCACGACACATCTGTCCATGTAATGCTTCTGTACCTTTGTGATTATTGGAGTAATATCCTCAGTCTTGGCCTGGTGACCTCTCCAGCTCTGACTGAAAGCTCTTGGAAGGCAGGGACTGTATCTTTTCTTCTTTAATCTACGTGTATGGGGCCCAGCACATACTGCCAATCACAGTCAGAGCTTGTGATCAATTAATCAATACTTTGAGCACCTACCATGTGCAAGACACTCTTACAGGGATTATGATGGTATATGGAGGGGGTAAACTGTACTTATTGTTTTTAAGGAGCTTATTCTAATAGAGATGAGACAAGACAATACATTAAGCCATGACTAACACCATAAGGCAGTAGCTGATAAACTCCACAATGTGATACATAAAGTCCTGTGTGATTCAGTCCCTGATTCCTTGTCCAGCTTTTTCTGATGCTCTGCCTTTCCTCATCATTCTACATATATTTGTTGGGTGCTGTCTATGAACCAAGGCACTTGGAGATAGAATGGTGAACAAGACAGACACCACAGTCTAGTGGAAGGGCCAGTCACTTAACAAAAACACACAAATGATGTTTAATTGTAGCCCTGATAAGTGCCATGAAGGAAATGCAATATGCCAGAGAAGAGGGGACTTGATCTAGTCTTGGGGGGCGGGGTTCGCAGTCAGGCAAGGATTTTTCTGAGGTAGTGATGCTTAAAGGGTGAGTGGAATTGGTCCATATGAAAAAGACACTTCTATTCTAAGCACATTAAGCTAGTCCTCAGACACGCTAAGCTCTTACCTCTTTCTCTACTCTTGCACATTGGGCTATTTTTCCAGTGCCTTACCCAATGACTAGGACATATAATTGTGGTAGAAGCACAGGTAAATACTATGAGATTAAGAAAGAGAGAGATATCCCTGTGGACTGGGTCCCCTGAGAGGAGTTTTTGGAGGAGATAGAAATTAATCCAGGCTCTGAAGTTTTCCTAAAATTCGAGTATGCACAGAGGGGCACTTCAAGTGATATAATCAAAAGAAAAAAAGCAAAAAAGTCATGGCAACCTGAAGGACTTGGTGAAGTCTGTGCTTCACCTCAGACAGTAGTGTGAAGCCTGTGTTAGGTAGTAGGGCCTAGCTTTTGTACAGTCTTCAATACAGGCCAAATATGGTTTGTCTGCAATGGAGAATCCTTGAGGGCTTTGAGTGTAGAAGTAACTGATTCATGATCATGAATCTGATCCACTTGTGATCTGATAAACTTGTGATCAAATTTTGAAATTTGTGAAGTGTGTGACTTGGATAATTAATCTCTGAGCCTTGATTTTCTGTGTGTGCCTGAGGAAGATTGGCCCTGAGCTAACATCTGTTGCCAATCCTCCTCTTTTTCCTTGAGGAAGATTGTCCTTGCACTAACACATATGCCAATCTTCCTCTATTTTTGATATGTGGGGCACCACCACAGCATGGCTTGATGAGCAGTGTGTAGGTCTATGCCCGGGATCCAAATCTGCGAACCCCAGGCTGCCAAAGTGGAGTGTGGAAACTTAACCACTACACCACCGGGCTCGCCCCTGAGCCTTGATCTTTTTATCTATAGAATAAAAGATACTGCTGACCTCCTTCTAGTGCCATTGTGGAATAATATATGTAAAATATTTAACAGTATCTGGCACATAGAAAACATCGATGACAGCTATTACTTTTACTGATGATGGAAGTGGTAAAGATTATGCTGATTGGGATAGTGAAGCTTCCAAGAACAAAGACACGGATTCACAGTGCCTAGGAATGACCAATCTGCTGGCATGACAAGGCCCAGTGACCAGTTCAAAAAGGTCAATCAAGGAGTGACATCAGCATCATGGCAGAGTGAGATCTTCCCTTAGTCTCTCCCTCCTAAGATAAAATGAAAAGGACTTTCATAAACCAAGAGAGGACATTCACACAACATAATAGATGTCTGAGAGATCCACACAGCCATACGTCTGAAGGTGGAGGTGCTGGACCCTGTGGAAGGCAGTGGAAGGAGGTAAGGGGATCTCCTCTCCCTCCTGAATGGCAGCAATCTAGAGTGTGGGACCACATGGCGGCTGGCGCATGACTCTGGGGGTGAGGAGGGCAGCCCTCTACAAGAATGCCTTCACTCTCAGAGGTGCCTCCCAGCCTATGGGAACGTTCCACACCAAGGAGGCTAGCAATCAGGGGGTCTTCACCAAGCTGAGCAGCCCAGGAGGGCAGACAGCAAGTGTAGAGCAGGAGCACCCCCTGGACCACGTGTGTGAAAGAAAGTGCCCTTCCTTCCCTCCTGCCTGGTGCACCAGCTCAGCCGATAGGCCGGAGCAGGAGACCCTTGCCAGAGTGCCTGGGTGCCTATGTGTGTAAAGCAGTGGCAGCCAGGGGAAAAATGCAGATGGGGCCTGGTTCACACAGCTTCCAAAGGACAGGCACAGCTGCCAGGGATTGTGGAGGGCTCAGAATATACAGCTCCTGCCCTCCCCACCCCTGGTGGTGGCAGGTGGAATCTGTGAGCAGATACTAACACTATGCAATGGCACAAGTCTACCCCTTCAAATAGCATGAAGAGGTATATTAACACTCCATACCAGAAGGAAAATGACAAGTAGCCAGAAGTCAATCCTGAAGTCACAGAAATTTACAATCTAAATGACAGAGAATTCAAAATAGTTATCATAAATAAACCCAGAGAGTTACAAGAAAACTCAGAAAGACAGTTGAATGAAATCAGGAATAAAATTAATGAACAGAGGGAATTCTTCACAAAAGAGATTGAAACTATAAAAAAAAATCAGAAATGTTCGAGATGAAAAATACAATGGATAAGTTAAAGAAAAATCTGGAATCCTTAAATAACAGAGCTGATATTGTGGAGGACAGAATTAGTAATTTAGAGGACAGAAATATAGAAATGCTTCAGATAGAGGAGGAGAGAGAACTAAGACTAAAAAGAAATGAATAAATTCTCTGGGAAATATTTGACTCAATTAGGAAATGCAACATAAGGATTATAGGTATTCCAGAGGGAGAAGAGAGGGAAAAAGGAACACAGAGCTTGCTCAAAGAAATAATAGCTGAGAACTTCCCAAACCTGAGGAAAGAGCTGGAATTACATGTAAATGAAGCTAGTAGAATACCTAATTGCATCAATGTAAAAAGACCTTCTCCAAGGCAAAACTGGCAAAAGTGAATGACAAAGAAAAACTATTAAGGGTAGCAAGCCAGAAGAAAATAACCTACAAAGGAACCCCTATCAGGCTTTCAGCAGATTTCTCAGCAGAAACCTTCCAGGCTAGGAGAGAGTGGAATGATATATTCAAAACTCTGAAAGACAAAACTTTCAGCCAAGAATACTCTACTCAGTGAAAATATCCTTCAGATATGATGGAGAAATAAAAACTTTCCCAGATAAACAAAAGCTGAGAGAGTTCATCGCCACAAGACCCCCCCCCCAAGAAATGATCACAAAGGTCCTCATACCTGAAAAAAATGAAATGGTTTACAAAGCCTTGAGCAAGGAGATAAACAGACTGACAAAATCAGAAAATTGTGGCTCTCTATCAGAACAGGTTAGCAAACACTTAATAATAACATTAAAAATAAAGGGAAGGAAAACATCAAAAATAACTATAATCACTTCATTTTAATCACAAAGTCACAACACAAAACAGAATAAGTTGTGACAACAATAACTTAAACAGGGAAGAGGAAAGGGATGGAACTTGCTTAGACTAAGGAAATAACAGGCTATCAGAATATGGACTGTCTCATCTACAAGATCTTTTATACAAACCTCATGGTAACCACTAAAAATAAAACTGGAACAGAGATACAAATGATAAATAATGAGAAAAACATTGTAGACAACCACCAAACTGAATTGGCAGGGGGACGAGAAACAAAGGAAATACTGAATAACCAGAAAATAAGTGATAAAATGGCAGTATTAGGTCCTCATATATCAATAATCACTCTAAATGTAAATGGATTGAATTCCCCAATCAAAAGACACAGAGTGACTAGATGGATTAAAAAACAAGACCCAACAATATGCTGCCTCCAAGAAACATGTCCCAGCTCTAAAGACAAACACAGGTTCAAAGTGAAGGGATGGAAGACAATACTCCAAGCTAACAGCAAACAAAGGAAAATAGGCATTGCCCTACCTATATCAGACAAAATAGACCTCAGATAAAAAAGGCAATGAGGGACAAAGAGGGGCACTATATAGTGATAAAAGGGGCACTCCACCAAGACGACATAACTCTTATAAATATAAACGTGCCCAACAAAGGAGCACCAAAGTACATAAAGCAACTATTAATAGACCTAAAAGGAGAAATTAACAGCAACACAATAACAGTAGGAGACCTCAATGCCCCACTTACATCAATGGATAAATCACCCAGATAGAAAGTCAACAAGGAAATAGTGGAATTAAACAAAAAACTAGACCAGATGAACTGAATAGATATAGGACACTCCATCACAAAACAGCAGAATACACATTCTTCTCAAGTGCACATGGAACAGTCTCAAAGATAGACCATATGTTGGGAAACAAGGCAAGCCTCAATAAGTTTAAGAAGATTGAAATCATATCAAGCATCTTTTCCAACCATAATACTATGAAACTAGAAATCAACTACAAGAAAAAAAAATCTGGGAAAGTCACAAATATGTGGAGACTAAACAACATACTACTAAACAACCAATGGATCAATGAAGAAATTAAAGGAGAAATCAAAGAATACCTGGAGACAAATGAAAATGAAAATACAGCATACCAACTCATAT